TACCCCTTTTTGCAATGGGACAGGGCCCAGCACAAGCATATCCGGGCGCAGCAGGAGCCGCTCAATCATCAGGAGGCTGTTCAGACGGTGACCCTCCTGTCGCAGCTCACCGCCATGCCGGACATCATAGGACGCTTTCATGCGATGCGGCCCTTGAGCCAGCAGCACCAAGCCGAGGCCGAGGTGATACCGTTTCTCTTGCAGGTGCAGAACCGCAACGCGGAGTCCCAGCAGTTCTACCTGGGAATGAGACGACTCTGCCGATGCTCCGTGATGCACCTCATCGGTGCCACCATGCGACCCAGCCGATTGGGCCGCTCGCCGCTGGCAGTGCAGATCGAGAAGATCTTGAAAGATCTTTGACCGCCAGGCATAGGAGTGTGCTTTCTCTTGCCCTCTGCAATGCATCCAATCACTGCTATGCCAACACATTAGTTTACTCATTAATGTGGGTTAGTGCAACAATGCCGGCAGGCACACCTTTCCTGGGATCCTCTATGCAGAGGCTAGTGGGTTGGTTAGGTCGCAAAGCTCAGCAAGTGAACCTTTGGAGTCTCCCAGCATGGCGCACCTTGCTTTCAGGCTGGCAGCATCCGCACCTTCAGCATGACAGTGCTGAGTTTTTGATGCATATGGAGCACGTGCTGCACCCAGATTTTCAGATGGGGCACTGGCAAGCCCGCCTTAGCAGCATATCGCAGCCAATGCAGGTGACCGATCATGGAAAAATGTGGCCCGTGACCCTGCCGGCACTTTTGAGGTGCGCTTCCGAGGGATCAAACAGTGTCCACAGTGTGCAATCGCTGATCATCGGGTGGCGCAACCAGGTGCAGCGACACGCCGCTGTGAGCTCTCCGCCTGTAGTGCCCTTACAACTAGGCAGGTTCGACAATACGGGTAACAAACTCTTAGGCCGTATTGTCCCCACCCCGGTAATACATGTGCCTCTGTTTGCTGGAGCTGACCTGCACACTACATCCAGCAAATATGTGCTACAGGCCGTTGTCTACCATTTAGGAGCCACCAGACATTCCGGGCACTACAGAGCCATGCTGTGCCTAGCTGGACACCCGTATGCCATGACTGACGACAACCATTTTCCAGTCAGGATTACTGCCGATGACGTTGAAGTGGTCATGAATAATTCATACATCGCATTTTACTGCAAGCAAGACGTGGCTGACATCGGACTGTCTATGCCATAGGCTTTTAAGATGGCCTTTGCTCTGCCTCCCGCCGCTCAAGGGGCGTTCGCGCCGGGTGGGAATATACTTTGTACTCTACCTATTGTGCATGCTATGATGTCCTTTCTATACTTACGGATAATTCTTACAAACAGGATCGTTCGATATTTGATCAGGCAGAGCTGGCTCCTTTTGCTTTTGCTGCACGGGGTGCTAAACATTAGCATGCATCAGGAGATGCCGACCGGAACAGGTTGCCCTTCGCAACGCGAAGACCTCTCTTTGCGGCGAGTGAAGAAGTATGTATGTATGTATGTATGTATGTATGTACGCACGCATGCAATTATGCATGTATTTTATGTACGTATGTACGCCCATCCTGCTGCTAATGAGGATGACGAGGGCGATGACCGTGTGATGCTGATGTTGATGGTTTCAGTGCTGGTGGTCGGGATGACGGCGGTTCCAGCAGTGAACACGGCGATGTTGTTGAGGATGAATGTTCTGATGATATTGCCTTGGTGGTCCTTCGTCATAGCGAGTACCGCGGCTGACGATGATGAGCAGCCATAGCATCACTAGCAGCTAGTGCCTCGGTGGTCGATGCTGTTGCCGCGGTCAATGTTGCCGCTGTGTTTACGGTGCTGCTGTTGGACTCTGAACCTTCGAATATTCCGTTGTCTGGACTTTGTGCCTTGTTCCAGTTTCCCTTCCGCTGACATCTCACTGCATTCTGTTAGCCTATCGCATCCGATCTTTTGAAGATGGGGAATGGAAGACTAGAAGCAGACAGCGTAATGTGGTTATGGCTATGTCAATGAAAGCTGGTGAGTTATTACAGTCCATGAGCATTGTCAGGCGCAAGCCCTCCCGTGACTTCGCTGCACGTGAGGCGTTCGTCATTTCCCTATGGAAAATTGGAAGCAAGCCAATGGTCGTAACAGTGGCACTTGACAGTAGTAGGAAGTGTGGGACGTGAGAGCGTCCACACCAAGAACAGGTAGCATCCTGTGTAATGAGACTGGTCGTGGTGTGTGGATCTGGGGTAGCAGTAGCAGTGGTTTTTGGTCGTCTTATCATTTAGATGACTCTCTGCATTATTTGCAGCGGCAGTAGTAGCAGTCGTCGTTGTCGTCGTCGTGCTGGTCGTCGTAGTGGTAGTCGCAGTAGAAGGAATAGTCGTCGTAGCGGCACCTGAAGCACCAAAATGCTCGCAAAGTTTTGGCAACTCCAAACCCGAAGTTGTGCCAATCAGACTGAGACCGGAAGCGCACTCCAGTCCAGAACCGAGGCTTGCTCTGGCAGGCCTGGATGTGGTCGGTGTCGCAAAGACCGGCAGCGGCAAAACTTTAGTGGCTTGGGTGGAGCAGTGTGGCTACGATCTCGCATCGTAAGTTTGCTCTAGGATTCAGATTCTTGTGAAGTTTGAGTCGCGGCAGGACCGTGCCTGTGTGTATGATCTGCGCTTTTGCCGAGCCTTCGTTCATTTAGGCTGTGCTGTAGCCGTCTGTGTCAACAGGTCATTCCGAGAAACTGCAGCCTGCGAGCATGTCATCACTCTTCGAGTCGTCTACCCCGGGCATTGGGTTCGCTTCATGACGCTTCAGGAAAGTTCCATCGACAAGTTTGCAACACAAGAAGCGTAAACCTGTACGTGGGGTCTTTGTCCTTTTCGTGTTGAACGATGTGGGCACGATGGCGCATTCTGCAAAGCAGAGCGCACTACGTCCAAGGCTTACCTGCTGCCAGCCTTGACGCACATTGAAGTTCAGGCCGGGCTGCGATGGGACCCTGCCCTGTGTGGACCCGAAGCCCGTTGCGCTCATGCATGGTTTTGGGAACGCCGCTTGCATCCATGGTCGTCCAGCCTTGGTCCCTTTGCTTCTGATCTCGAGAACTCATCTCAGAGAAGCTCCAAATGGTCTGATGAAGGAGCCGCTGCAACATGGTGTGGCTGCGCCCATTGCTGGAACCCCAGTCTGTTTTGGCCATGCCCTGGAGCCTGTTGTGTGTTTCCAAGCAGGCACCTTAGATTGTTTGCATGGGCACCTCTCTGGGATGCGAGCGGGGTTGGGCCATGACTACGTTCTGAAGCATTCATTGAATCTAAACGAACTGCAGAGTGTGATTTTCTGCACTGTGCAGCCGCAACAATGTCACGACTTCATGAGTGTCAAGAATCAAAGCAAAACACCCGAAAGGCAAACTTTAACCAGCATTAATGTGCAAATGTTTTTAGCTCCCTAAAGCACCGGCACGTGTGACCGCATGGCTGCCAGAAGGAAAGTGCATGCTTGCAATGCTCAAGTTTGAGCTAGTACTTGTTGAAGCTCCTGCTCAGGCACTGATCCTGGCACCCACGCGGGAGCTGGCGGTGCAGATCGCAGACATGTCGCGCGCGGTCTGGAGTCCCGGAAAGTTTGGAGCAGTGGCCGGAATAGGCGTCAGCACCAATCCCCCTCTTGGCCGAAGGACTTCGGGACGTAGATGGAGGTTCTGCTGTTTTGATTTGCTCACTGAGGCATTTGGCTACTGAGGGTTTCGAAGTACTTACTCTTTGCAAGCAGCGGTTTGACATGACCAGGCCAGACAGGAATCCGAGAAAAGCACAAACTTGAGAAGAAAGCGCTTTATCCCAAATCTGGAAGCCACCAAGCCTCATGAGACCTTGAACCCTGACCTCCCAAATCTGCCTGAGGCTAAGCACGACTTGCGAGTTTTCGGTGCTTCCGAGGTGGTCGGCTCGACCACGGGCAGCGCGCACCCGAACGGCCTTTCGGCAGGCGTCCTGTACGGCGGCGGCCACGGCAGCAAGGGATGGCAGGCGGCTCTGCCTGGCTTCGGGAGTGGCTTTTGCCTCGATTTCAACCCTCAGACAGTTGGAGAAGGGGAGTTACGGGCGTTTCGACTTTCGGGCTTGTCCGTCCACGGTCTGCTTGTACATCCACAGGGACTGAATTGGCTCGTCGTCGCCTTGCCGCACAAATTGTGTTTGCAGATTTCTTACGACTGCTATGAAGCGAGGCGATATCAAGTGCAGTTAGGTCTCCTGCATCATCGAAACGTGATTCTCGCAATCTTCGCCACGTCCAGAGCACAGGATGAAGCCCATCTCGAGACTGACGGGTTTCCCAGTCTGTTAGCATCCGATGCTCGCAGAAACGATTCAGCTTGATTGCCACAGACTTTGCTTTGACTGCCGACGACGAAGCTTCATAAAATATCTTAGTAACGAACTTGATCGCTCTGTCGGGCTACGTGTCTCGAGGTGGCGGACATCCGCAATGGCGCTCACATTGTGGCTGCCACACCTGGTAGGTTACTAGATGTCATGGATTCCGGATGCTTGGCAGCTTTGGCTTTTGAGGGTCAATTGAGGTCTGTAGAGCTGGAGATGCAGGCATAGTTGTTGTTGCGTTGCCTTTTCTCAGGGAATTTAAGACATCAGAGTGTGTGTGTGTGTTGACTTTATCCATTACTCAAGCTGCTGTCCTTCACGGTCCATCTCCAATCCCCAGCCTTGATTCGCGAAGCCCTGCACTGCTGCGCCTTCACAGTGCGACGGCACTCTGAGAAGGAGTACTTGGAGGGGACTTGAGTAGGTTCAGCTTGGATCCAAAACTAGACTAACTAGACTGAGGCTAACAGCATTCTGATAGGAAGGCCTGCTTGACTGAAACCCATGTTCCCCAAGGTCCTCCAAGTACCGCTCTTGCTGATTCGCTGAAGGTGAGGTTTCCCTCGAAAGAGTCACCTACTTCGTTCTTGACGAAGCAGACCGCATGCGACCGGGCTGCTGTTCCTTCCATTTTCCCCGCGAGGAATTGAAGATTGTTTGAGGGGATGTATACTATACTATGCTATACTACACCACTTTTACACTTTACTATGCTTCATTATAATATATATTAGAATTTATAATGTACTGTAATGTCTTTGAGTATGGTAGGGCGACGCGGGCCATCTGGGGCTTTGGGGCTTCCGTGTCGCCTCCAGGGGAGGCCGCTATGTGCGCCAAACCAAGCCCAACACCTACATTTCGGGTTTAGGGCTTAGGGTAGAGGCCCAAAAGTTGGAAGCCCAGTAGCCTCAACCCCTGAGAGTAGTGTATAAGCAATCCCAACACGAAGTGTCCTTAATCCAGTTTCCAACTTCTTGGGGTTTACCATAGAAGTGGTCAACTGCAAGGATTCCCCAAGCGTTACGACTGATGTACAGTGTGTAGAAACCCTTTCAGAAGCATTATAGTCCTGTATAGATCTTTATAGCATATTATTGTGTATTCTTGTATAGTAATAATATAGAATATTATGGAATACTGACCTTTGAAGCTTCCTTTGCCGAGGCTAGAGTGTGGATTCGAGGATCAAGTCGGACGGATTGGTAGGAGCCGTGGCTCCTGATACAGGGTTTAGGGTTTAGGGCATGCCAGACGCCAACAATGCCTCACTGCTTTTCTTGCTATGCCCTCCTGTGCGTGTCTGATTTTCTTTCAACATGTGGGTGCAAACAAGAACATTCAACCTGTTATGTTGTAGATGGAAATATGTATTCATGAACAAATATCAACAAGTACATGCAAACATTTCCATGCAAGTATGCAACTATGGAGACATGTGAACGCATACAACCTGCTTGTAGAAACAAATCGGCATCCATGCAAAAAGATGCCAGTAAGTATAAACGTGAGAACATAGTTGTACAACTCGACACACACGCACACACGCACACATAAAACCCGAGTACAACTACTGCTACTGCTACTGCCACTGCCACCGCCCCTGCTACTGATACCGCTACTGCGACTGCCACTGCCACTGCCACTGCTGCTGCTACAGTACCGCTTCCGCTACTACGCCTACGACGACGACGACGACAACTACTGCTGCTGCTGCTGCTACTACTACTACTACTACCACCACTACTACTACTACTACTACTACTGCTACTACTACTACTTCTGCTGCTGCTGCTGCTGCTACTACTACTACTACTACTACTACTACCGTCACTACTTTTGTTACTATTGGGCGTATTGTGGCTATTGCTACTGCGACTGCTTGTACCCGAGGCC